AAAACCAGCAAGGAGCCGAATGGGATATCTCCCACTCTCGCCCTCTCTCTGCTCTGTCGATGCCAATTGTCGAAATAAATCCATGGTCTGGTTGAAATTGAATAACAAAATACAGAAGTTCGGAATGAAAAACCCAATGAACAATAGAAAAGCGTAGAGTGGGGTCTGGCAGCGCACCCAAATAAATATGTTTAACCAAATTGCCAACCAACAGAAGAAAGAAACGCAGAGGAAAACCCACCCCGCAAGAGGAAAGAAAAAAGGACAAGTCAAGCGTAACATATTTATTGACGTTGTGGTTGCTGGACCCGGACATGGAAACGGACAGGGATACGGAAACAGAGCCTGGACCTGGGGCACACACACACACACATCGGATTTCAGTTAGCTGGCAAAGCAGCAGAGCAGCAGGCAGCAGGCACAAAAAACCCACCACTAACCACTGACACCAGCACCACAGAACACAACACAACACACCCACACCCACACCCACACCCACGTCAGAAACCACGGAATGAGTGGCACTTGCAAGTGTGGTGTTTATGTTCCATACATCAGGGGTTTATGGGCTAAACGTTTATGTGTCTGGCAACAACAAGCTTTTAAAGGGTTTCCACACACACACACACATACGGACTTAGGACCCAAAGGGGGAGGCGGGGAGGTAGAGTAGTCGATGCTGACGCCACTTGAAATTTCACTTACACCCAATCCCCCCCACACACTTGATGTGTCTCTGTGTGTGTGTCACAGTTGACGTTGCACACTTCGTTGACTCCCAAAAGACGCCCACACTCAAAATGGTTGACCTCGGTCGCCACCCCAAACCACCAGATAACTCGGTGAGGGTGGAGGAGGAGAAGGCGGTGGGAGGGGTACTACAAAATGTATTTTATCTTCATCGATTGCCAGAATTTATATCTTTTTTCATGCCACATCAGCGTTTTATATGCACACACACACACACGCACACGAACACACAGATGTCTGTACATATCGAAAGAGAGGAATAAAGATTTAGTGAAGCTGTTTCCCTCCCCCTCCAGAGTTCGTTGAGGTTATGTGCTGACAGCTAGAAGCACCAACATATGCATATCCTCGCCGGCTGAGCAGATAAATCAGCTGTGCTGCCCAGCAGATGATTACATGGGGATGAAGTTGTAAGTCGCGTCGAGATGCTGGAATAAGATATACACTCGTACAGTGTACACCATGGACATATGGACCACACAATAAACTGCCACATTATGCAAATCAATATCAATGCAGAAGATGGATGAACACTGTCGATGGTGGAATCAGTTGGATAAACAGCAAGTGGCAGCATGTTTATAGGTACATTTATCATAAAACATTCCATAAAAATACTCTATTTCTAGTGCTTTAAGAAACTTCCTTAAAAATCACAAGCACTGCGGCTGTCAATTTGCATTTTATATTCATGTTAATTCATATCTCTACACCGATTGTAGACAAGCCTCAAACCAAAAATCATTTCACTTCGAACTTCATTATTCTTTTTCCAATTTACATAATTCCTATTTTACATACAGACCCCATTTTTCGGGAGGAACCTTTCAACTTGCAATCATGTTTGCCAATTATGCAAATGATGATGCGACCCACTGTGCGTGCAGGCAGAGCCACTGTGGGGCATAGCTGGGTAAATACTCTCCAAACACTTGGCTTCGTGTTTACCACAATTTACTGCGACTCGAGTTAGCACAAACACACAAACACACACACAGAAAGCAAAGAGAGAGAGAGAGAGAGAGAGAGGGCTCTGGCAAAAATGAATGCACATTTTTTGCCCACAATTTCCTGGCAGCAAGGGGGCAGAAGTGTGACAGAATGGGGGTGGGGCGAGAATGGGGAATGCGAGCACAATAAACTGATGGGACGGTAGGGGTCGGTGTGGGTCGGGGGTAGGTCGTAGCTTGCCACAAGCCAAATACGAGTCGGTGTCTGGTGCTCGACTTGCCTCTACCCTAACCCTACCCTAACCCTTGCTTATGCATTCATTCCTGTTTCTTCTCGTTTCGTTCTCTCTCTCTTTGCCTTCATTCTATATGTATGAATATTTGAGTGTCTGTCTGTATGTGTGTCTCTGTCCTTCTCTGGGTGTGTGTGTGTGTGTGTGTGTGTGTCTGGAAAGTGTGGCAATAAAAAGGATAATGTAACTGTTATTCTACGCAAAACGGAAGCGAACGAGGCAACGCTGCAGGAGGAGGAGTGTGCGGCAAGCTGCAACCAAGTGTTTGAAATATTTCTGTGGCAAAGGTGGCAACTTGGGCCCAACAACAAGATGTGGGCACAAGTAAAAAAGCACAACCAAAGGCTGCACAAAAACGAGGTTGGGTCTGGGTCTGGGTCTGGGGTGGCCTTGTGGTGGTTGCACACTGAAGGAGTAGGCAGGGAGTGCGCTGTGGCAGGAAGAGGATGCGGTGCTAGGGAGTGGAGTAGAGTCCTTTGCTGAGTGACTGACTGAACAAGTGGCAACGAGGAAATGACTGCCCCGTGGCAGGCAGGGGCCACCACTGACAAGAGTCAGAGAGCATACAAAACGAAACGAAACGAGACGATACGAGACGACACGAACAAAAGTGCCAAAGAGCGAAGCCGGAAAATTGTGTGGAAATTTGAGCTTCTTTTGAAATTGAGGCCGGAAATGACACCCACACGTCCCACTCTGTGTGAGAGAGAGAGAGCTAAAGCAAGAGAGAGAGAGCGAGAGAGCGCACACAGACAGACAGATGGAGAGAACCTAAAGGGGGGAGAGTACAGTGAGCGAGTGAGTGCGAGAGAGATGTCTTCCGTGCTGCTGCTGCTGCTGTTGTTGTTGTGTTAAGCAAAATGTTTGCGGGTGCAATAAGCGTAAATTCAGTGGTTTTATGTTTACTTATTCAACTCCTACATAACCAACGAACGACCCCTCCCCCACCACACTCCCACTCGTTCGGTTTGGGGGGTGGCACAACTTCATTTTAGTGGCAGGAGGAGCTGGCGGCAGGCAGCTGGCAATATACTTTTTGCAAATCGATGCCAACTCCTTAAACGGTGGGTTGGTTGGGATGGCTAAATGTGGGCGGACTGTATATTTGTTGGGTGTTTTTGGGGGGGCGCCTGCTACTGCTGCAGGAAGCGTGTGGCAGTGTGGCATGTTGAATGGGTCTTGAGTGTTTTCGTATGGTTGACAGGATAACACGGAGTAATTCAATTCGAAATACTTTATGCTGTTGCTTTTATTATTTGTGCTTTCTCGTTGGCTCTCTCTCTACAGCTACCCCCCTCTCGCCACCTCCCTCTTTTTATTCTTTATTTGCCACCTCTGCTGCTGCTGCTGCTGCTGCTGCTACTGCTTTACGGATTGCTGTTGTCGGAAGTGGCATTTGTAGGTGGTTTCTGTGAATGTAGTACTTGGTATATGTGTGTGTGTGGCGGGAGCGGGGGGAGTGGCAGAAGGTTTCCTTCCTCTATCTGTATCTGTGTGTGTGTGTGTGTGTGTGTTTTTTGTGGTTTCTCTGTTTATTTATTTTTATGATGTTTCCTTTTTGGCATTTTATTGAAGAAGTTTACCGACGCCATTGCTCTTGCATAAATAAGTGAGAGGTGGGGATGGAGCCAAGAGGGGGGAACGGAAAGGCAAGGCGGAGTGCTAACAAGCACACAATACCCCCCACCACAACCATTGCAATTCATATATAATCAATATTTATTACAACAGCTATAGGTCTTGGTTTATGGGTACATGAACCCCGTCCCAGTCCCCTCCTGCCTCCTGCCTCCTGCCTACCGGCCACCCACTGTGCTGTGATTGGGCATTTAATCAGTTGATTTCTTATTCAAATTGAGGATTTTTTTTCCCCTTTATTTCCTTTGCTTTTATACTGGGGAAATGCAATTAGAGAAGCTTTTTCCGAGATTGCTCTGCCACATAATGGCTGAGGAATGGGTTTGTGGCATTGCCCACAAGAGTATTATGTTGTACAGCGTTTTCCAGTGATAGAAATAAACTTAATTAAATACAATCAATATTCGAATTTGAACAGCTTTTAGATGGAATTTACATATGGTCTTCGGAAATAGTTGAGTCCATTGGGAATGTTTCTTTTCGTCTGGAATTAGCTGGAATTTTCCATCACCCTTTAGCACATTTAGTTAACAATTAACTTCAAGGTTACTTCTGCTAGGTGATGCTTTCAGAATCAATAAGTAGTCAAGAATTAAGTAGCTATAAAGTAGGAGGAAGAGCTAATCAGCAGATGGTCAGATTTGAAAATATGTTCTACATTCCTGCCATACAACAAATAATTTCATTAAAATATGCCCACCCATTAAGACTTGTTTATGTGTGACAGTCATTGGTAAACAATGATTCCCAATCAATTAAGCAACAACTTTGGAGTAATCTTCGTTAACTTATATCTGTGTGCGTGTTTTGTGCACAAAACATAATCGATGACAGGACTACCCAAAACCCATCCATGATTAAACATTAACAAAAAGCAGCAATTAACAATTGTATCCAAAACTCTAAGGCTGTCCAACAAATTGACATGCCACCGTGCAGCATTGTGTGGGCAGTTAGCTGCAAATGCATTGAAAAGAAATTCAAATGAAGGGAGAAGGAAGCCACTAAACAGATTCCCCACAAATGCTCAACTCTTTTGTGGCAAAATACAAACTAATCTGCAAATGCTGCCCCAACGCAGAGCCATGCAACCCAATACGCCCGATGCTGCCCCACCAATCCACCCGACACACCCCACGAACAAAGGGTTCCTCTTTTGGGGAGGGCAGGGTGCTAAACGAGCTCGGAGAACGCTCAACGCTCACGAGTTAAGTGAAACCAATTGAGATTTATTGACGCGAATTGGGTTTCACTTGAACCTGCTCGCCCTCGGGGCGCTTGAGGAGCCTCTCGCATTACCAGAACCAGAACCAGATCGGATTCCCCCACAGTTTGGTGCCACAGCGGCATAGCGCATAGAGACACTTACCTTCTTTTGACTTGTCGTACTGCTTGGGCGACGTTGTCTTCTTGCCTGGCACGGGCCTCAGTGCATTGCTGATGAGCTGTGTGTGGGGGGTTGGGAATTGTAATATAGACATTAGGCTTAGTGGGGGTTACGCTCTCTCTCTCCTTCCGTGTGCTACTTACAATGCGATCGGAGCGCTCGCCGCAGGGCAAACGTGCCACTGCGGACTCGGGACTGTCCTCTGGTGGCGGCGGCTGGGGCACCCAATTGTAGGCCCGCCTAGATATGGGCACCCCAAAGCGGTCGTGCTGCGAGGCTTGTTGTCTGCAGAAAAGAAACAAAAATCATTAGTTGGGCTGTACATCAGAACATATTTGCACTCTGATCTCTCACCTTAAGCTCTCGTAGCAATCGAGACAGACGACGGCATACTCCCCATTCTCCAGCAGCAGCCCGTCATCGCTCTTTTGGTGCTTCACAAAGGGAAACTCATTGACGGGCAGCGCTCTCACACGTTTCCTATAAGTCGTAATGCCGCACAGGTGGCAGTTGTAGTCGTGCCAATTGTATTTACGTTCCGCCGGACTCACGCTCGGACTTTGCGCCTCATATCTGTCAAGCAATCAATTAAATATAATTAACAAATGTTCTGTTTATGGAATGCATTTGGTGGACTCACTTGCGCCACTGATTCAACATGGAATGATAACAGAAAGTGCAGACCAAAGCCGAATTGTTGCGCAGCTGCTCAGCATTCGGCAGAGAATTGTGTTTCAGCAGCAGTGGAAAATATGGTCGTGAACCCTGAAAAGGTAAATAAACTCGGGTTATTTCAATAACTTTAACTTGCGCTTTGAATTTGTGAATTAATTGATGAAAGAACTGGCTAAACCTCGGGGTATCTAAGATCATCTTATCTATTGCTTAAGATTCCTATAGTACATCCTGTTGTTTGAGTATTACAGAGTTTAAAGACTGTACTGGGCCTGTTTAAATGGATTTCCATTGCTTTCATTGACTGCCGAGAATAATCGAACACAAAATATTCAAAAACCAAACCCAAAAGCACGCTGAAGCACGCTCAAAGATTCACAAAGAACAAAAAAGTAAAATATAACTCTAGAACGTACATAATTTATATTAAATTAAATTGTTAATGAATGCAACTAACGTGATATATTATTTACTATGATATCTACAACGGATGTACGCCATACCCGAGGGCTATCTAAAACAATCATATGACATTTGATGCCTCTATCTAATCACTTTTAATGGATACATCAACGCTGGACTATCATTATCTATACTGATTGACAACGCTTGCGGTTTGTTCCCTTTCGGAAATCCCTGTCCCACCTATCAGAAAATTACATGTTTGCCAAGGCGTTGTGTACAAATATTTGTGCATACAGAAAACGTAATCACAGCAGATATGTGACCCGAATCGAATGGGTGGAGTCTTGTGTGTGTGTGTGTGTGTGTGGGTGTGTGTGTGTGCAGTGCAGCCGCAACATTCAATTAAATGGCTCAATGTTTAAGGACGAAGCTTAACCCAAAAGCCTAAGTATGACTGATTGGGGTTTGTGTCTATTGAATATTCCTAAATGTGTCGATTTTGAGATACATTTCCCTCAATTAGAACTGCAATCAATTGGAGTGTGGGCTGCTGGCAAGCGTATTTTGATATGTATCATTTGCTAACTTAATCATTTCACATAAATTTAAGCCAAAGCAGCAGCTGCATTCATAATTTCAATTGCAATTTCTCAAACAATTATCTGTCGGTTGGCATACATTTCAGTCTACAAACAATGAATTTTACATTTGTTTGATTAATTGTACAATTTTCGGATACAAAGAAGTTTGGGCCCAAGGCGAACTCGGCTTGACATGATTATGTTACACTGTGGCAGCTGACTTTAAGGGGATTTTACTTATTAATGGATAATAAATGGATTTGTCTTTTGGTCAAAGAAATGACAATCCATATTCTTTGAATGCCAAGCAAATATATTACAAACTTTGCATAAATTAAGGTACATTCTTCATTGACAAAATTCGACACTGTAAATTTTACTTATTACAGACATGCCAACGCTGTTCAAGACTCTTTTTGTTCTTTCTACAAAGGCTAACTCTCATCCTAAGCACATTTTCTTTCGCTATTCATAGCTGTAACAATTCTCTGCACTTATAATAGTCTATTCCAGTCGAACTCTTCAGAGACTCTACCTCTTTGCTGGCATAGAGTACGCGAGCTAGTGTAAGGTCCGAGTGTAGGCCGCAGAGGAAGCAGTAGATTGATGTGCTGGCAGGCGTCGACGATGATATGGATGGTGTGGAGGGCGGTGTATTGATGCTCATGGCGCCATGCCGAGATCCGTTCGGTGAGCTGGAGGTCATCATGGGCGAGGGAATGTTGTATCTGCAAAGTGAAAGTAAAACCCAATCAATAGAGAGCTCTTTAAGGCAAGAGGGGGCAGGAGAGAGAACCTTCTGTGCTCTAGGGGCACGCGTTCGGCATCCATCGATTCCCACTGGCTGGCCAAGTAGTCCTTGCAGTCCTTGCACGCCAGCACACGATTGCTGTTCAACTCGTTGTTGTTGTTGTTGTTATTATTGTTGTTGTTGCTGTTGCTGCCAGAGCTGATGCTGCTGCTATTGTTGTTAATATTACTATTATTATTATTGCTGGTAACGGCAGCGGCGGCAGCGGCATTGGCCTTCAGGCAGGGAAAGTGCATGGCATGGGAATTCATATGCTCCGCACTGGTCGACAGCCAATCCATTTTGTTAGACGGACAAAGCACTTTGCAAATGGAGCAGCTGCACAAACGGAAAACAGAAAAGTCAATTAAAAGACAGCAGAAGGAGCGCAAACACTTACGGATACTGTCCATGGCCATTCTCGATGGCTCCCTGGCTGGAGCTGGGCGAATTGGGCCGCGAGTCGCTGCGTCGTATCTGCTTGAGGTCGCGTGCCGTGTTCGAGTTGGAATTGTTCGAGTTTGTCTCGTAGGGCTATCAATGGAGCAGCAAGCAAATGGGTATGCAATTATTAGACAGAGATTATTATAGTATATTGTTTATTCTATTAGCTATTTCTGTATTAGTTCTAAGAGTATCGCGCACCGACTTTCGACTGGTGTTGCGGCAATCCCCCACGCATCTACTCTCAACCAAGCAAAGGCAAAACTGGTTCGCGCCTTATCTAATCGTTGAGACGAACGTACCGAATTTTATAAAATATTTTATACAATTGATTTGCTTTTCAAGGAGTAGCCACTCGACTATGACTGGCACTGGACTGCCTACGATTTGGCCGTTAGAACCGACTTTAACCGGTACGAACTGTGTTCGGTTTTCACTTATCTCCCTTCGATTTGCGACTTATATTTTCACTCAGAGAAAGAGAAAGCTACAGCGACAGAGATAGAGATAGAGAGAGTGAGCGATTGCGTGCATGCCCACAAATCTTCTACAATCAAAAGGCTTCTTATCTGTTGTGGCGACTAATTACAATCACCGTTGAAGTTCAAAGTTGAGGCCCCGCACACCGAAAATGGATCACTTGTGGCTGCCCATTGTGATTTGACCGCCTCTTTGGCGTTCTCTTATGTGTGTCAACACTGTTCGAAAATTTGAATTTATAGTGGGCGCTGCTCGAGTGTCATTCAAGTCAAAGTCAAGACATGAATTCAATTCATTGTTGGCCACTTCGCAACTAATTGTGGGAAGAACGAGTGGGCAGAAAGAGAAGTCTCAAACAGAAAACAGAAAAGCGAAGAAAAAACAGTAGAAGAACTACAGCTAGAGTTGCCCAAAGAAGTATCTTAAGTGAGGGAATAGTTCTGGCTAAAACGTTTAAATGAAATTTGTCATATTTTTCATTGAGAATTTCTTCTGGAAACCTTTGACCCAGCAGCCACTAAAAGAAGAACTTCCCCGCTCCTTTATGTCATAATGTTATTTACTTTTGTAGCGAGTTGAACGACTGCAGCTACTGTTTGCTGACATTTACGAGTATAATCCTTAAACATGTGCTTACTGGGGGTTTCAGAGACATAGATATGGCTATGTGTGCTGCGTATGGCTTTACAATCTAAACATTTGCAAATGAAAGACCCTGGAGATCGTAATGCAAATAAAAGTGGAGAAAAAATAATAACACACAAAAAACAAAAACAGTAACAAAAACACAGACACCGAAACAGAAACACAATAAAACAATGCAAATGAAAACATTTCGAAAAGAATTATTTAAATATTGAGTTGAGTTGAGCTTGGGTTCTGTTCTTGCTAAAGCTACCCCCTCCCCCCCAACCCCATTGATAAATATTTACATTTATCTATATTTAATTTTGCGTATTTCTGTGGCTTTTGTGCAAGCAAACGAGTTTCGAAAACACCGCCAGACCGCCCGACCGTCGGATTGTGCAATGACCTGGATAGGCTGCGAGGAAAAAAAAAACCTATATACCACACTACACATAGTAGATATGTGTGTACATATGAAAATGGAACAACTGCCTACAGCACCTGTTCAAAGATGAGTTATTGGCCCAGCACGCTCATCAAATAAAACGGAAATTCTGTTTAATCAAAGTAAACATTCATCGAAATGGAAACTGAAACTGAAACAAATACCTGAAGCCATTCGCTGCAAGTCATTCAACCCTGTGAATCAAGGTCGCGTTTCATATCAAAACTAGATGATATTCGAATACCTAAAGGTAATCCCAATCTACGTCTGACACACAGGAAACAGCAGAACCAATATCCAAAACTATAAATTACAGAATAAAGAAATCTAAAGACAAATTAAGCCATTCCATTTGCACTTTAAAGCAATAAACAAAGCTGTTTTATGTACTACATATACGTATGTACATATTTACATAAACGTGTAATAATATTTATAGTTATGAATCCGAAGCAACTGCCATAAAGAAGACGGCTAATAAATTATGGCAGAGGCGACGTTCAGTCTTTCAAATTTGTGGCACAAATTAAACACAAAAGCAAAACAAAACAAGGCAAAACTAGAATGTTAAAACAATAAAAACAGCAACAACAATCGGCTATAAATATAAAGTATTTAAGTAGAATTAACAAAACAGAAAGAACAAAAAAAAAGACGAAACAAAAACCGGTTCAAAGCAGATGCCTGGAGTATACAAAATAAAACAAAAACTGACTCCCGACTCGGACTCGGAGTCGGAGTCGGACTCGACCAAGTCTACCCAGTTTTTTCTTTCCTTTCTGCTTTTTGTTGTGTGTTCTCTATGCAGCCCACGATCTCTCGGGGTTTGTTTATACAATGATTGAGGCTATACCTCGCCGCCACCTTCGTTTATTACTTGCTCCCACTGCTATTTATTTATGTGTCCTTCTCGGGGAGAGACCCGCATGGAGAGCGGCGCATGCATTGCTGCCGTGTGTTTTCCGGCCACTATCTAATCGCTTTTACGTACATGTGTTGACTCAAATTGCTTAGCATGCTGACGATCCAAGTGGCTGCCAAGCACGCTCCAAGCATAGCTGCGAATGATAAGGCAAAAGAGCTGCACCCACTCTCTCTCTCTCAGTCTCTAATTGATGTGGCGGTGCGGTGCGGCGTGGGGCCTTCAAAATGAATTACTCAACAATTCCAGGTCGTGAACCAGCCATCATCTATCTGGCAGTCCATATTCCCAGACGTCCCACCACCACCACCCATTAATGGGGGGTTATCTGTGCCCGGGGGCACAGAGGGCAAATGGGTGGCCGCTAATCGCATGAAATGTTATCGCCGCTGGACAGCGCTCGATTGCCGCTGAAAGACCCGGCAGATCGGTAGCGAAGCTCATCCCCGCACTGCTCCTATCCAGCAAGCAGGCATTTTGCTGTAACAAGTGCTGTAAGTGCCACACACTATCTATTATCTCTCGCTCTCTCACTCTCTGCCTAGTAAATTTCCATGTTTGCGCACTTTACCGATACGCCGGGCAGCATTCTCCATATAGTAGCCACATATGGCATACGGCATACGGCATACTGCATTATTTATGATCTCGATCGATTGTAAGGCACAAATTGTTATTGAGAATCGATTGCGATCGATTCTATAAACGGATGGGCAACGATTATACCGAGTGCCAGGTATTTCCCAAGCTTATCCGATAAGAAGTAATCATTCTCCCCTTTGCCATTGTTTATCCTTACCCTAAACCGCACATTGCTGGTGGAATCTGAATTGGCCACCGACTTCTCTGATGGGGAATTGCGACCACCACCAAAAGGTGCCATCACTCCACTGGAACTATACAGCGCTGTGCTGGACTCCAGCGAGTGTCCGGCACTGGGCGAGCCACCCACTGGGTGCGCTGTGACTGCGGCAGGCGGCGGCCCACCCTCGGCCAGTCCACTGTGCTTCTCATTACAGCTGGAGCAGACCTGGACCATGCCTGGAGCGGGAAACAATTTTGGTTAGATGTGCGGCACACAAAGGCGATAATGGAGTGCACTTACCCTGGGGACTGATGGGACTAGCATTCTTGTAGACCTTCATGGTCTTGATGAACGGATAGAAGGGCTCCCGCTCGGCATTGGGGCAGCAGTAGACGAGTCGCAGCTGTGACGAGGGCGTGTCCGTGCCACAGGTATAGCACACAAAAGTCGTTCGCTCCGGCGCTGCTGCTGCTGCTGCTGCGGGTGTCGGACGTTTGCGCAGCATATAGGAACGCTCCGATTCCGGTTTGTGGGATGCCTGCAAGAAGATACAACAAATCACGATCTCACATTAGTCATTCGGTTTGTAGCTGCTTACAATTACAGTTTCAATTAACAGGCTTATATAAGCGTAATCTTGGGTGTGAAGCATACAAATATGATTCCATTTAAAATGAATTAGCACCGTGGCAGCAACGATTTTTAGCAAACAACTGCTAGGTCTCAGACCTTTCGGCTGTAACCAGGCAAAAGGTGGAAGCAAAGAAAAGCTACTCCTATTTATAGTACAGATTACACAAACAGCAAATAAAGTCTAAAATGGGCTTCTCTTTTGACCTCATGCCAACCCGATTTGCAGTTCATTCGCTGTAGAAGCTGCCGACACATAAACGACTTTGATGAATTACATTTCGAGTTGATTGATGGATTGACACGAGTATGAATAAAACATTTTATGTTGCCATCTGGCAGCGACTACTCCCGCCCATTGCTGCCACATGGGGGCTCGAAACGAGATGCACAAGCAAAAGCTGCAAAAGAGAATATCTGCGAACGGAAAACCCATTTTAAAGAGCTCTCCAAATAACTCTGTGATTACCCGCTCAATAATTTCACTTCCTTCACAAACAGAACACCCCGCAATGCGTTGCGCATACGACCTGTCAGTCGATGTGAGGATTATGGACTGCCGTGGGGGCGTGGGTGGGGAGCAGCCCACCATATTACGCAGACGTCATTTGTGTTTGTACAAATTAATATACACAATCTGGTCACCCAAGCCTCATGGCTCGTCAACAACAATGATGGGACGGCATTTGTCATATTACGTATACGCCAAGTGGCTTTTCGCCAAAATGATTTGAATATTGTCATGTACATAAATGTAGTCGCTCAACAAATCTTTACGTTTTGTCATCTCTTTCATGGCAACCGACACAATTCATGGGTCTATGCATGAGCTGCGTATCTTTGCATACAGCAGACAGCTCAAAAGTGGACAGACGGCAGGCAGGCAGAGCATTTCATTTATTTTATTAGGCACCGAGCAACAATTTAATTGTTTGTTTACTTTCCTCATTTCATTTTGTGTCAGATTTTTTGACATTGATAGGGGCGCGCATTTCGATTACACAATAGCGCATGGATTCCTTGTGGATACCAATTTGTGTCTGTATACCAGAGTGTCTGTCTGTCTGTCTGTGTGTCTGTCCGTCTGTTTGTCTCTGTTTCCATGTCTGTTTCCATTTTGTTTGTGTGTTTTGTCATGAGGCGGCTGTGCTCCACACACTTTCGCACACGCTTTGCCTCGCTTCGCATCGTATCCTATCACATCGCATCAATCTGGGACGGACGGACAATGCCATGTCATCCATATTTATTGATCCAATGCCTCGATGGCGTCTCTTTCGTCTCTTGCTTCTGTTCTGCCCATTCTCCTCGCCCCCCACCGATTGCCACTCTTATATAGCTGTCAGTTGGCAGTTGATGGAAAAACAAATTCGTCATACATCTGGGATACCCAGTACATGGGCGCGGGGAGTGCCACAAGAGCCATCTATTTTTTGCCGAGAGTTGAAAAATATTGCTTAATTATTGCAGAATTATGCCTCTACCGCGTTCCATTTAAATGTTTTATCTTTTAATAGCTATTTTAATACATTAAAAATTACTTCCAAATTCCAAATTACTGAGTAAACCAAAAGTCGACTTGTTTCTGATTCGATTTTTCGTTCGCTTTTTATGTTCGCTTTTCATGTTCTTGCCCCTGCCACAAAAACACATTTACCCCCCTCTCAACCAACAGTCAGTTCTTCTTGTTTGCTTTATGTTTGTGCTTTTCATGCCCGTTGATAAGCCGCAATGGCAATGGGGGTCATGACCGTTTAATAACTTTTTTATGAACAACTTTTTTCCCTTCTATCTCACTCTGTCTCTCTTTTAGTTTTTCATAACTTTTGTTTTGTTTCGTTTGTTTTTTTGTTAATTATAAAGCATAAAATAACCCTTAGTGATGGAGAGAGCTGGCGGGCAGGGGGCAGCTGTGTTTTTCTCGCTCTCAACTTTTAGCAACAACTTTTCGCAAGTGGAAATCAATAAGTAGCCAAAAGTGGAATTTATTTCCACTAATTAATTTATATTTTTTTTTGTTTTATTTGTGTAGTGGGGATTATCAAACACAAAAATAAAAAACAGTTCTCCAACATGAATCATGTTCAAGTTTTGGTTTTTTGAATGTTTGCTTTTGGCATTAATTTGGGTCAATATTGATTGATTGCTTGAATGGTTGAGTGAGTGCGTAGTGCCTTGAAGAACGGTTTCCATAACAGGCAAATGGCATTGTTATCTATCTGTATGTAAACATTATTATTTCTGCTCCAAATGAGGTTGGAAATGAATACTTTGGTTACTTATTGAATACTCAAAAGTATCTTCATTTGTCAGGAAATTCGACCGGATGGCATCGAATTAAAACTACTTGAAATTATTTACAAAATAATCTTTTAAACTTCATTTATCCTTGCACGTTGTCAGCATGTTTCTTGACACAATGCGGCCCGGCCCTCAATTACCTTTTCGCTTTGCTGATCCTTGAGAATCAGATAGGTTTTTAATTTCCTGTATTCCCGCCAGCCATTCGTATCCTTTGGCTTGAAGCTGATTCCTGAATTGGGGCTGTTGGTGCTGTTGCCACTGTTGTGGCTGTTGCTCTCATTGATGCAGCAATTACTGTTATTGTGGCTGTGGCCGTGGCCGCCCTCGCCCACCACAACGGTGAGATTTTGGGCCATTATTAAGAGATACACAGAGAGCGCGCGTTGGATGGGTATCCCCGGGGATTCACTAATCACTTTGCTGTTGTTGTACTTGTGTTTGTAAACGGTTTTTTGTTTTTATGTGAATCATTTTCTTTGCATAATTTCAATTGTTTAATTGTTTTCGATCGAGTTTCAATGAATCACATTTGATTAAACACTAAAGCTGCTGGTTGCCGCTGCTGCTGTTGGGGTTGTTGGCAGATTAATTAGAGTGGATTTTTCTCTTTCTCTCTCTCTCTCTGTCTGTTTGTCTGACAGTCTGTGGTGGCAACTTAATTACAACACGAAACAAATTAAATTTAATTGAAACTGATATAAACGTTCTCCTCCTGCTCCTGTTCCTGTTGCTACTACCATCCCCTCCCTGCTCCACCCTCTTCCTCTGTGTGCAGTTGGGCGTGGATAAAACGCGAACGCGACGACGGATGACGCTCATGATGATGATGATGCATCCGTATCCGTTTCGTATCCGCGGGGTGCTCTCTCTCTCTCTCTCTCTCGCTCTCTCACACCATCACTACGTGCCACATGAAATTCCGCGCAAACACACGCGATCAGTGTGGATGCAGCAGATTAAGAGGTAACTAATTATGCATTACATGCAACATGCCAGCTATCAGCGTCAACATCCATCCCCATTCCCGTTGGCCTGATGGAAGTGCGCGGCGCGTTCATTAAACCCTCCTGCTCAAGGAGACACCCCAACCCCGCCTCCTCACCTGTTGCCCACTTTCCCTCCGCAATGGTAATTAAGCGGGCGGGGGGCACAAGCCACACGAAAGGGAACGGGAACTGGAACTACAAGTGCCACTGGAGTGCCCTGGTCCGCCCCTCTGCCACACACCGCAGACAATCATTTGTCGGGCAGAGCGGAAGGGCTGCGAATCGTGCAAGAGATAAAGACAAAAGAGACAACAAATGGGCAAACTTGTGTGCAATTATTGGATAATAAAAGATTTGCGTTGGAGTGAAAGTAACGGAAAGAAAACAACACGAGAGCCATCAGCCACTGATTAGAGGGGGGAATGGGCGGAGACTCCTTTGCATGCCATGGTAGGGATTCATTTAATAACAATTAAAGCTTTTAATTAAACGAACTACAATTAGGCAAAGGCATGCGGGATTATTCATTATCGTGTCAGCTATAATTAGACAATGGTTTTCGGTGCATATACGATTTTATTCGAGCATCCTTCGTGTATGCCTCATCAAAAACTAAACCCGATTGTACTCCTTGGTGCCTTTGTTGAGTCAAATTCATTGATTCAATGGCAAATAGTAGACACCCTCCAGCTATGTGGAATGTTGACTTTGTGGCCACAAGCTTAACCTTGTCCGCCCACCCAAGTGGGTCACAGACAAGGACACTGCGAAACGAAGAGCCAAGAGAGGGCGTGCCAATTACTGTTTGACCCACTTAAGCGTCAATGTGCGTGCTCCATTATAGAGGGTTGGGTTGTGAGTAAGAGTACGTAGTTGTTGTTGTTGTTCTCAGGCGATATAAATCATGATTCGCACGCAAATAAATCACAGGAAATAACCGATAACAAAATACATGGAACAGGAAAAATTCCTCCAGAAGAAGTAGAAGTAGAAGTAGGGGTAGAGGAGGAAGTAAGAAAGCAAAAGACTGCACATGAAACGGTTTATTTATAGAACGGTACACACACACAAACACGCAGAGCCATACAAGAAACGCGCAGAAAATGGCAAAAACGCCCGTGTTTAAAAACGCTCAAAATAAAAACGGTATTTGTTGCTGACGTAGCTACTGCTGCTGCTACACTGCTTGTTTGAGGGCCTTTTTTACACGGACAAGTCATGTACATACACATGTACTTGTACTCAATTGCCCCCCCTGTAGAGACACCTAGTGGCCCCAGGCAATTTTCCGACAGGTTGGAGTCACAAGAGTTCAAAAATAACAACAATAAACAAAAAACTGAAAAACTACAAAATAAAACATGACCCCCACATTGACACTAGAGATGGGGCGAAATGTTATTCATAACGGTTTTGTTGCTCTGTATAATGGGGGTTTTCGTTTAACTGATTTAAGTGCTTCCAATTGGATTAATTGTGGCAATTGCTGTTTATTATTTCCCGTATGGGATTCATTGAACTGCACTAAGGCAATTTAATTAACACAGATACATACACGCAAACACACACACACGCACACAGTAGAGATACGATTTATGGCACTATCAATCACGCGACCATCTCTAGTGTGACACCTTCGTAGCCTCCACTTGAGGAGCCCCACTGGTTCCCCGGCGCATAACTAACTGAAAAAGGGCAAACTTCGAGGCGGCATCGTTGACTTGTTGTTGCTTTTGCTGTTTTAAAACCAGTATTTTGCGGCACTGCCACCGTTACCGGCTACTGTTGCGACTTGCAGAGTGACAGAGAGGGGGGAGCGAGCAGAGACATTGAACTGCTTTGACAGCCGTGACTTTTGTTTGCTTTTATTATTAACACACGACACGAAACACGTACACACATTAATACATACAAATGTATGTATGTTTGTACATACATATCTGTCATTCTTATTTGTTACACTTTATTGCCAGTTGTGCATTTATCAATTTTGATTTTATGCGCCTCAAGCACGCACACTCACATATACACGAGCACAGAGTATGTGAGAGTGAGAGAGAGAGAGCAAGTGCTACGCGTCTCATTAAGCGATTGTCGCATTTGCCGTTTTTGATAAGGTCGGTCTCACGTCTCACACACAAATTTACTGGAAGCGTACGGCTGGGATTTCTCTGATTGTGGCGGGAGAGATTGAAAATCGTGCGACTCCGACGACGCGCGTCACAAAACGGAATGCTCCAACAACCGAACACAGCCGACGACGACTAACTGCGGCAACAGCGGGACCAGAGCCAGTGCCAGAGCCAGACAAGAACGGATCGAGCAAGCAGTTTCTGTTGGCGTTGGCGCTGACTTCGCTGCTGCTCCCGCTGCTCCTCTTTGCCTGTTGGAGCCCTGCGCTCTTGTTGTTCTTGTGGGGCACCCGCAAGAAAACAAAAGCAACGACAACAACGCCGATTCCGACGCTCAGGGCAGCGCAACTAAAACAAACACAAACAAACAACTCAGTCGCAGCCGCTGCTGCTGCTGCTGCTGCTGGCGTTAACTGCGATGCCGGCGCTGGCGTCGCACGAGTCTACGAATGGAAGAGCCAAAGCGGAGCGGCAAAGCACGAACTGAATCCAAATTGAATTGATGCGGCGGCGAATGGAAAAACAAAAACACCAAAAAGCAAAAGAGCAGCAGCTGCAGAGTGAACTAGCTTATGAACCAGTGGGGGAGTGAACATGAATTTACGAGTGCGAAGAGTAGAGGAGAAAGAGCAGACAGGCAGCTGCAAATTTATGAAAACAGTGCGAATGAGCGCCATTTTATTAGGGAAGTAGATGGATGTTGGGGAACAACCCGCCAATAAATAAATCACATTATTAATGGAATTTGCACTCAAATATTATCGCACACATTTTAATAATTGATGGACATTTGGGTGTTTTCATAATAATAACTAATTGAAAATACTCGACATACCATAATTCAAGTAAATTTGATCAATTATGCACATTCGATTCGGTATAAAAACACTTCTGTGATGCCATACCATCACAAATATTTCAAATATTTATGTACCATGTTGATGATATGTGTCTCATTATAGTGAATTAAATTCCTAGCATACTCCCACGGTGGTAGCCCCGCAGCCCTGAATTTGCTGATTAAGAGAGACCAGCCCTGGAAAATTGACAGTTGCAAAAACAATCTCTACACGCTCCGACAACAAACACAAACATGACCAACGATTTGGAAAGGGAAGGTAGACAAAGAGAGTGAGTGAGCAGTGGGCAAAAACCAACAAGAGCAAGCGACAAAAAGGGAAGTGGGACAAAGCAAGGCAGGGAGCAGCTCGAGGGTCGCGTCACCTTTAACAAGTAGGCGGCGGCTGTGGCTGGGGGCATTCATGTAAACACGAGCCCCCAAAAACCACACAAAGAGGAAGAACAAGATGATAAAGGAGCAGACATAAGATGGAGAGGACTCTGGCAAGGTATCTTAAGTATAAGGTATAAATAATGAGAGAGTGAAACTGTAACGAGACAGAGAGGGTTGGAAAGACAAAATAACTGCTCTGCCCCTCCTTTGAATATACCCTGCAGAAGAAGAAGAGGATGTAGACACTTGGAGGTCGTCATGGCAAGAGTCAAATGGAAGAGGCGACTTCGAGAGGAGGAGGAGAGAGTAGAAGAGGAGATGTGGAGCTGAGATAACGACGGGAAGCAAATGCGTAGTCTGCAAATGCAACGGCGGCGCCTGGCCTGGAAAGCAGAGCAAACACAAAAGCACCGAACACACACACACGCACAGACAACACGGAATATTCTCTCCACAGAATAGATTGCAATGTGGTGCATTTATTTATTTAGTCAATGGAATCTGCAGAATGTGCAATGTGTACAGGGAGAGGACAGAGGGCGGCTACGTATCCACTCAGACATACTTAGCAACCCCGCAATAATCCACCTGGCAACACTGAAAGCCGAAAATACTAAGGAATAAATTCAACAAAAGGTATTAAAGATACATAGCAACTATGTAGTACATACACATATAAATTTAATACAAGCTTGAAATATGTATAAAATGTATTTCTGTTGGATTATCTTTGAAGAAGAAAAATATGGCAGACGTTGGATATATTAAACTCATTTCGGACACTGTTTATGCAGTGTTTTTAATGAATTTAATAAATCTAACCAAATTCCGTACTAATCTAATACTAGCGTAGAACATGGGTTTAAAATTTAAAGACCAAACAAAGCAAAGACACATAAATAGAAACAAAAGTAAGCAATGGAGTGGAGAGAAACCAGGCGAAAGCGATAACAAAAGTTAAGTAAACGCACAAACAAACAAACAAATGGAACAAAATAAACAGAGCCAACGAAGCGAATGAAGGATGAATGAGAGAGCCAGTGAAAGAGAGAGAGAGAGGGGGAGGAGGACATGGAGAGACAAACTAAGCTGCGTTGAGGCAAAATTAAATGTTGCTTCAAAGCAGACGAAGTGTGAAATAATTACATTAACTAATGCACAGACAAGACCAAAGAGCAGGGATGGTAAAAGAGACAGCGAGAGAGAGAGAGAGAGAGTGAACGATGAGCATAATCAACGAAAGAGAATGACAGAGAGAGACAGGAAAAACGCCACCTCCACTGCTTAAAGTCAACGTCCATAGCCTTCGTCATCGCCAAAGGCAAGGCAAGGCTGTCTGAAAGGATATTCCAATGGTTGGCAAGAGAAAATTCGACATTCACATTCCACTTACAAAAGCAGCAAATGTAATCAAGTAATCAATGGCTAGAGGAATGTCATCAACAATTAGATACACAAATTTCAAACTTTACGATTCAAAAGATGTTTATGGAGTTAAGGAAGCAATTGGCCAGTCTAAAGTTATCGTTTAATGAAGTGCAAAGATAATCATCATCAGGAACAGTATCAGCAATTAATATTAACAAGACAACTTGGCAACTGCAGTTCTGTGTCAAAGGAAGTTAAATAGGACAAAAGTATGTCAAAGGTAAGGGGAAAATAATAATTATTAATATAACAATTCCAAAGAATGATTTAATACTCGAATAAATGTTGCCCCATTCTCCTCGCATCCTGCTTTATGCTCAGGTTTAACCCATAATCTCCGTATCTATAAATACCATATTTGATTTTCCCCATTAACCCCTCCGAACCGAAACGAATCGAACCGAATCCCACAGAGCTTATCAACCTTATCTGGGGGGTGGCATCAAAATGTGTGTACGTTTTACTGTCCGAACGTAATTAGGGATTGGCCAAACGAGTACTCGTATTATTATTATCAAAAGATCCACATATGGAACGGACTTAAACAGCAATAACTATGATGTGGACAGCAGTAGAGTGGATTGGTGGGCGCCTCCACACTTGGGTGGGACTATCTAAACAATTTTATCATCCACTTTTACTGGGGCATAGAGCAGCGGGAACTGTTGCTCAGTCGCTGCGTGGCATTCGAGGGCGCTGGAAGTCAAAACAGATTGCTGTCCGTTGTGGAGGTTTATATATATACACATAACAAATACATATATATACTTCTATATGTGTATATAAACATAGTGCAAAATGGATTTACGTGTGGGCTTTGGGGACAAGCTTAAACTGGGTGCAAAGTGAGTTCAAAGTTCCAAGTTCTGATAAGCCTTTAAAGAAAACTCTTCGGACGATGACTCATCTTTGTTTTTATTTTCTCTTTTCAGAGTCATTGGCCATAAGCTCATTCAGTACAGGCTGGGCACGAATCAGAGCACGCAGCTGGAAACGAAATATGGACTGCTGAAAGGACTGCAACGGCGGACCGTCTACGATGGAGAGATCTATCATGCCTTCGAGGGCATACCCTTTGCCCAGCCACCGGTGGGTGAGCTGCGCTTCCGCTCGCCCCAGCCCGTGCAGCCCTGGCAGGGCGTGCGGGACTGTACCTACTGCAGGGAGAAGCCCATGCAGCGGAATTCCATCACAATGTCCGCGGAGGGTTCCGAGGATTGCCTCTATCTGAATGTGTACGCCAAGCGATTGGACTCGCCAAAGCCGCTGCCCGTTATGGTCTGGATCTATGGCGGTGGCTTTCAAATCGGTGGCGCCTCGCGGGATCTCTATGGACCGGACTACTTCATGAAGCATGATGTCATCCTGGTGACCTTCAACTACCGCGTCGGAGCCCTGGGCTTTCTCAGTCTCAAGGAGCGCGAACTCAATGTGCCCGGCAATGCGGGACTGAAGGACCAGGTGCAGGCGCTGCGTTGGGTCAAGGAGAACATCGCCAGCTTCAATGGTGACCCCGACAATGTGACGCTGATGGGCGAGTCGGCGGGCGCCGCCTCCACCCACATCATGATGCAGACGGAGCAGACGCGAGGCCTCTTCCATCGCGCCATTGTGCAGTCCGGTTCGGCGTTGTGCGCCTGGGCCACAGAGCCAGACAAGCGCTGGGCCCAACGCCTGGGCAAGGAACTGGGCTACTTGGGCCCGCTGGACAACGAGCAGGAGCTGCTGAAATTCCTCAAGGACACGCCCGCCAGCAAGCTGGCCCTCCACTGCAATGCGATCGTCACACAGGAGGAGCAGAGGGACTACGAGATCATTGCCTTTGGGCCAGTCATCGAGCCGTATGTCGGGGAGGACTGTGTGGTGCCGCGACCACAGCAGGAGCAGCTGTCAAATGCCTGGGGCAATGCGGTGCCCATGATCATTGGCGGCAACTCATTTGAGGGACTCTTCTCCTATCAGACCACACTGCAGGATCCGCTGCACATGCTGAGCGCCTTCGAGGCGCTCATTCCACGCCAGGTGCGCGACGTGATTGACCAGGATGAGCTGAACGAGATGGTCAGCCGGCTGAAGGTCGCCTACTTTGGCGACACCGAACGCGGCAGCATGGAGCTCTTCGAGTGCCTGCACATACTGAGCGTGAAGAACTTCTGGCACGACATACATCGCACGCTGCTCGCCCGCTCGGTGTATGCCCCGGCCACGGCCACCTACTTGTACCGCTTCGACATGGACTCGCCGCACTACAACCATTATCGCATACTCAAGTGTGGACGGAAGGTGCGCGGCGTCTGCCATGCCGATGACATCTCCTACATGTTCTATGGGATACTCTCCAGCAAGCTGGACAAGGCCACGCCCGAGTATCGCACCATTGAGCGTTTGATTGCCATGTGGACATCGTTTGCCACCACAGGGGATCCCAACTGTGAGACGATTGCTCCGGTCAAATGGGATCCACTGCGCCCCGGTGGCCCCGAACTGTGCCTCAACATTGCCGACGGACTGGAGTTTATACCGCTGCCCGAGAGCAAACAGTTTGTCGTGTGGGATAGTTTCTACACCCGAGAGAGTCTCTACTGAACACTAGAATGTCGTTGAACACATAAATGCATTATGCTTGAAAAATAAAGCCATAAACCACAATCATTCTTTCAACAATTGTTTGGCATGATTTATTATCCTGCATTTGCCGCCACAGCTTTATTTTTTATTGGCAACAGTTTCTCGCTGGGAAATGGATTTTACTCTGCCGTGTTGGCGTTTGCCTTTACTTTTTTTTTGTCATCTTAGTTGGCTTTATGCCAGGAAATTCCTTGGTAAGCCAAGGGAACCACACGCAGCAGGTCATTGCTGCCAATCTACTTATTAATAGCTTCTACTTTCCTTTCCTTTCTTTGTTCCACTTTTGCCTGCAGACCATTCATAGGACCAGACCATGCCACACATTTTTGAAATGCTTAAATCACAATTAATCTTTTTCTGCTTTTGTTTTTAGTGGTGCGGAATTTATGCAAACAATTTTGAAATATTTCATTTTGGTATTCGGGCAAGTGTCTATTATGAAATATTCTAATGATATTCTAAACAGAAATCAGAGATATTTTGAATTTTTATAGCTAAAGCTACAAACGGGTTGGAACTAAACCAAACATTAATGTGCCAAAACGAAGACGTAAATACACTATCAATCGAAGTTGAATAATTGACATTTATGTGGAGTATTTAGGTCGAGGTTTTTGGTAGATTTCTAGCTGGAAATTAAACTCAACGTTAGATTCCCATCGGTTCTTAAAACTTTTCCTTAGTTTTATTCGACTTTTTGCTATTAAATCGTTACTATATATTCCCCATAGAGTATATGGCGCACCCCAACACACGTTTCGTTAACCCCGAGTGTTGTTTATAACATTTTCTAGTTTTTTTTTATGTTTTGTTTATGGCTAACCATTTATTTTCGTTTCGGCTGGCATCGTGCCAGCCAGAAGCAACGAACCAGATCGATTTAAGAAATGTTTTTATTTTATTTTTATTTCGGTGTGACTTGATTTCGTTTCATTTAAGCAAAATTTGTGCATAAATAATTAAATTGCTTTTCGCACATTTCATTTTCCATTGGAAAATNGGGGGGGGGGGGGGGGGGGGGTATTGGGTTGGGTGGGTGGAGGCGCATTGCTATGGATAATTTCTGGCTGGCAGCCAGAAACGTTATTTCCATGGCTTATTGGGTTAAATTTAATTAATTTGTTTCATTCACAGTCCTTTACATTTTACCCCACTGCTGTGTGATTATACAACTGTGTATTCATTTTGAATAGGGATTCCATCTCCCTCTCTCTCTCTCTCACTGCCTCTCATTCGCTCTTCTGCAATTCAACTTTTGCCTTTTTCAAGCACTTTTTAATACACTGACAGAGAGTACTATGAATTTTATTAAGTGTTTGCAATGAACAGGGGAAGACAACATTTCTCAGGCATGAGAAAGTAGAAGAAATTTAAGAATTTTCTTGGGCATTTCTTGCTTAAATTAAAGGCCCAAAGGGTATTCCATATTTCGGTTCCCAGTTCCTACTTATTTTATTTTCCTGTATTTATTTATTATTTCGTGTGCATTCATTTTCATTTGAATTTTTTTTCCCACTGCCCACTTGTGTTGGTTGTGCTTCATTTCATTTATTTTGTTGCCTGCGAAATTTCCCAATTAATGGCATTTAATTATTTATCCGACATTTTACACAGTTCTGAGCCGCACCCCACCGCGTCCCCTTGGCTGCAGCGCCACTAAAATTTGCATTTTTGCAGCATGTTGCAAATATTTGCGTTTTGAATTTACAATTCAAATGAAAAGTGGGAATATTGTGGAGAGGCATTGGGCGAAAACAATGTCCACTTTTGTGGCTCGGGTCGGTCTCATTGCGTGCGAAAAACCGATGTGGGCGACGGCAAAAAGCTAGAGAGAGAAAGAGAGAGGGCAGGGCAAAGAGGCAGAGTTTTAATGGGGTGTGCAAAATGGGAGGTTGCTAGAAGAGTTCTGAATAAAACACATAGAACAATTCTCTGAAATATATTTTCCTAATTATTTGCAACTATTTTCTGCTTATATTTTGCACACAAATAATTCGAATATTTTGCTACAAACACTGGTATGAATTTCGTGAGTAAATATTTCAAATAAACCAAAATGTGATTCATCTAGAAACTAGATTTTGCTCCCTACACCCCCGGGTACACTACGCTCCACTGCCATCATCAATGGGAGCGAAACCGGGGCGATGTCTGAAAATTATAAATACATTCAGCACACAGAAATAAAATCAAAAATCAAATCAAAATCACGAAAAACATATACCCTTTGCTTTCAAACATTAATCGAGAATCAATTCGTAGAGGGGAATACCAAACAAGGGACTAGTTTTCTGCGACTTCTATTAATATTACGAGCACGAAGTTTCAACTTTGCAACAACCTCGATGAAAGTGCATTAATACCCTCTGCCAAAGAGTATATTTTGTATATACATTAAGCAACGAAAATGCGAATAAAAAGAATGAAGAGAAATAATCGCGGAAAGCTATTAAAATTTAATCAGAAACACAAGCGACCCTGCGGTCAGAATTCCCACAACATTCGCCGCCTATCTGTGACTGTCTCGCTCCCCTCGCTGCTCCCCTTGACCCACGACACTCTCCCTCTCACTCTCTCTGTCAACCCCTGTCTCCTCTTCTGACCCTCTGTCAGAGGCTCTTCCATTGGCCTGTTGGGTATGTTGATAATTCCTTCTGTTTATGTGGGGGCAGGGGCCAAGGCGCGGACGACTGTATGTGGATGGTGATGACGACGACCCCACTGATTAATCGTCTGCACAGATGGAGTGGGCCTCACTTCTCGGGTCAATCGCCATGGCGCCAGCGACAGCTGAAACAGCATCATCCTCATCTTTATCATTGATTCGATGTGGCTGCATATTTTGTGTGTGGTTTTTGTTTATTTTGGAGATTCGTGTGACGCGAAAAAGAGCTCTCGCAAATGTATTCCTAAATGAACACAAAATCTGTCTTGGCCTCTGCAAAAGATCACGGAAACAGGGTATCAGTTCATGGGCCTCTATTTTGTTTTATTTTCCCTAGCTTCTGTTGTTTTTATTTCGATGTTTTTGCATTTCCCCTTTAGTTCATTCCCTCCCAAAACACTCCGCACTACATCCCTTGCCCACACCCACCGCTGTTTTCATTTAATACCATTATTTATGCCAGTCTGAACAATATGGAAATTTGCACAAAATAAATACCCGAAAAAAAGGAGGAGAAGAGAGAAAGAAGAGCAGAGTTGTCGGAGGCAGGCAGCATCCATAAACATTTCTATTCACGTTACGTTACGATGAACCACAACTTTAAACAATTTAAAGGTTTTGTACATATTTTTAGCACAATTTAATTCGTAGAACTGTAGCGAAAAATCCCCCGATTTGGATGGTATAAATACCAGAGAATATTCCAGGAAACAAATTGGAATTCCCATGGCCACAGTTTTCTGGCATGCAAAAATGTATAAAACTGAGTAAAAGTGCAAGAAAGAAGCGACAGAACCAAAATAAAACTCCTTTCAAAAATCTGTACGAGTATTCCCGGATTTAATCGCTCTTTCTATATCTTTCAGTTAACTAGGCTCTGGGGCTCGACCTCGGTTTCAGCCACGCGTCGTAGCTTTAAATGAAATGCAAATGGGCGACAGACGCGTCTCGTCCAATGCTGAATAAAACTACTATCTTCATATGGAGATGGGAAATATTCGAATGAGCGATTCCAGTTATTGGAAGTAAATCAATAAAATACGTGAATTGTTTACTGACCTGCTGCGTGTTCCACTGCTGCATGAGGTCTTCGTAGCAGGGCAGACAGGCCTGTATCATGCCACGGGGATCCTTGGGACGCGAGCGCGCCGGACGTGGATGCTCCTCGTTGAAGAACGGAAAGTAGGCCGCGGTCTGGCCGAGTCGCGACTCCTTTGACTTCACCGTGCTCAGCTCGATGAGGCTGCCGCGACGCTGCTCATCGCCGCACACGTAGCACACCTCCGTGATGGAGTTCTTGTCGGGCATCGAGAGGTCGAGGATGCCCACCTCTGCCGGCGGTTGACTGATCGCTGCGGCTGCGGCTGCTGTGCCTGTGGCTGTGGTGTTGCTCCTTGTCGTTCCTCCCGAGCTGCCACCAGCCACGCTGGCGCTCACGTGACGCAGATCCAGCACCGTGGCATTGTCATCCTCCAGGCCGGCTGTCGGTGGCGGTGGCCCCAGGTGGGCACTGCCCGGCGAGGGCATTGCACTGTACGGATTGCCCTTGTAGTGCGCCGGATGCTCAGGTCCCCCTGCCGCTCCTCCAGCGGCTGCCTGCTGCAGCAGGTGGTAGGCTGCAGTCTGCTGCTGCAGCTGCTGATACTGAGCGGGATGATAGCTCGTCGCCTGTCCGCCATATGGCGATGCTGCCGCTCCAGGAGCGCTGCCCGGCTTGAATTTGTGCTGCGAGTAGTTGGAGGCGCTGCTGCTCTTGGTGGCCGGCGGTTCGCTGGGTGGTCGTGACGAGGGCGAGGCCACTGGCATGTCCCGCGATTGCGGACGACTCAGGTATTTGTTGTTGTTGTTGCTGTTGCTTGTGGGCGTGGTGGCATTCCGTGGATAATAGTCACCGCCACCCGCACCACTGGGTATGGGCGAGGGTGAGGCATTCCTTGAGGTACTAAGGTGATGAGGTGTCGGCGTTGCCGCTCCCGATGGCTGATGGTGCGGGGAGTAGTGACGGGCGAGGGCATACGGATCCATGCCATGCAGCTCCGCCAGTCCGTTCTGGCCCAGATGATCCGCACTGAGGCCCAGCACCTGGGCGGCGTACTCGCTTTGGGTGGCCACATCCGCTCCGATGTAGCCCTTGCCGTCCATCCGCTTCATGTGGTAGATGCGCTGCAGCAGCGGCTTCTTGTGGCGCTCGTACGCGTCCCACTGCTCGTTGAGGGAGCGATAGCAGAGCAGACACGCCCACACGTACTCCTGGCTGGCCGTCACACTGGCCATCCCATTGGGCGGCTCATGCCGCTCCAGAAACGGAAAGAAGGACTCGCTCGGCCGCTCTGCGCTCTGCCGCACGCGCAGCGCCTGCATCTCGTAGCCCCCGTGGCAGCCGCAGACAAAGCAAACGGACACGACCATGTGGTGTTCTGGAGGCGCCGATGCTCGACCCGTGGACTTGACTCCCGTATGTGCGGGATAGTAGTGCTGCTGCTGCTGTTGCTGCGATGGATGCGGCGCATAGCCAAGGGACATGGCATGCTGGTGGTAAAGGTCGCTGGGTGTCCGGGATCGGTGTGCCAATGCTGCTGCTGCTCCTGGTGAGGGCATCAGCTCGCAGTGCGGATACAGCTGCTGCTGCTGCTGCTGTTTGGACGAGGCCGCAGAGGGCGATGGCGATGCGGGCGTCGTTGCTGGCTCGGATTGAAGGGACTGCTGCTGCTGCTGCTGCTGTTGCGGCTGCTGCTGTGGCTGGATGCCACCACGAAGTTCATTTTTGATATACGCTTTCGCTTTTTCCATAATATTTGTCAGCTGCAAAGAGAGGAAAGAAGAGAAATTAGTTATAAGCGTGGAAAAACGGAGCAAATATGACATGGAAATGGGTTAAATATTACCCACTGAACAGCTGCAATCGAGCCCCTCCGCTCACTCGCTTAAAGCATGCCAGAAGCAAAAAAGCACAGAAAATTCGATGCTCGTTAATCGAACGATTGCCAACGGCGATAACCTATTTAATCGCCAGCCCGCACCCGCGATAACCCACAGGCACTCGACGATCGTGATCCCTGATCTCCGACGAGCATCCAAATGTGGGAAGTATAAATAAATAACACAACAAAATAAAGACAAGAAAATAAAATAAAAGCAAAGCAAAAAAGCAAAAATATTTGCATGCTGAAGTGATTCGACGATTTGTCGGACGTTGCTTCTTGTCTCTGAGTCGATTTATTTATTTGAGTGGCAGGCAGCGCGTCGTTGGCTTATTTTTGTATTTCTTTTTTTTTCTGCGCATTTGTTTTCATTAATATGTATTACAGTTTCAGTGAAACATGTGACGCAAGTCACTGAAAGGAAACACTCGCGAAACGCTGATAACGAGCGTGGAGAAGGCAAAGAAAATGCAAAGGAGAGGGATAGCCCACGGGAATAAACGAAACTTTGGGAGCACATTTTGTCTTGCATACGTACATCTCACACTTGGGCTGTCCAGTGTGAACCGGCTAAATGAGGGGCTAAATATACCCAGTGTGTATATTAGATTATTTGTTTATACGCCGAACCAGATCGAAATGTTGCTAATTGGCTTTATCAAGTATACGCCAAAGCAGGTCCCACCGCAACATTTGCTAAACAATTCGGTGCTGTCCTCGTTTAGCGCACAGGCAAAATGATGAAATCAATAATAGAATTGAAGCAGCAAGGGGCATGCATACTCTTGCAGAGGGGGTATGTTAAGTCTTAGAAGAACATTGGATAACATTTGCGTGGGCAGCCAAAGAGAGTAACAGAGTCTGTAAGGTTACTGGGCGCAAGCGAAGGCAAAACTAACAGTGAGAGAGAGACACTAGAAGTTGTAACAGAGAAGAGAGCCAAGCCTCAACGATCGCTGCCTAACATTAGTTGCACATAAATATTCATAAATATTACGAATAATTACTTATTTCCCGTCTACAAATTTATCATTTCTTTTTTCTACTTCAAATACATTTTTTCCCGCGGAGTTATCCAATCAAAATATTTGCAATGAACTAATTAAAATTCCCATTATTTACTCACAACGAATTCTTTAACATCTACACAGCAGCAAAATAAAGTTGTAAAGTTCAAATAAAATATGAAAACAAATGGCTTGTTTTTCATGTTTCAATTATTTTTTATGAATGCACTTTTTCATTGATTTTCTGCTGAATGGTTTTTGTTTTTGTTATTTCTTGTGCTGCGCCGGCTGCTGCTGCTGCTGCTGCTGTTGCAGGGCTCCACAACTTCATAAAGGGAGTGGGCGCGAGTGGTGGAGCCATGGCTCGCTCGTAGCTTTTATTTCACTTTATTATTATTTTCCTTTGCTTGTGCAAGCTTTTAAGAGTTGTTTTTCAGTTGTTGCTGTGTGTGCTCGAGCGGGTGTATGTATATGTGTGTGTGGGTGTGTGTGCTCTACAAATTTTGCCTCAAACTGCACTTGAACATTGTTGCTTTTGTTGTGCCCCGCCTGCACCTTTTACTGCACTCGCTCGTCCTGCAGTTGTTTTTAAAAGTTTTTATACCCGACAACTTAACTGTTAAGGGATATGCTGGAAACGTATTTAAACACGTAACACTAGCACTTTATTTGGAAAGCAGTTAATAAATATTTAAGGCAGTAATACATAATTACCCACTTCTTGAAATAGTCTATTAAATCTTTTAATTATCCATCAATTATGCCCACAAAATATTAACTGCCCTGGCAGATTTTTATACTATTAAATTCACCATTAAAAGAGTTTTGGCAGCGGCAAAATTTCTTTAAAGGGTATCCCCCACCAACTTAATACAGAGAAATTTCTAGTTAATTTTTTGTTTTTGCTCGCTTCACATAGGAACATTTTTATGGCCCTCGTGTCCTTGTTTTTGTTTGCATTTTCAACTTTTTTTTTATGTTTTTGCTCTCGTTTCAGAAGGAGTAGAAGTTGCGTGGCAGGGGGTGGCAGGAAAGGCTTGCCACGCCAGTGAAATAGTGGAAAAAAGTGAAATAGAATACCGAAGCGAAGCATTTTTTAAGTTTTCACCCACTCCCGCTTCCGCTCTTACTTCTTCCTAGTATGTGTCCTCCATACTTTTTATGCAATTTTTCAACTTTAACAATTTAACTTCTTTCGCTCTCCCTTTCTCCATCACTCTCTTTTCTGCTTCTCTCTCTCAAACTTTTAAAATTATCGCTGATGTTCTTGACTTTGTTTTTGTTATTCTTTGCCTTTACAGTTGGAGGCGAAAATACATATAACGGAAGTAGCCATCACGCAAAGAGCGAGCGGGCTGGGAGCGGCAAAAGGCATTGAACAAGTTGCAGGACAAGAAAGAACAAGTTGCGAAAGTTTTTAGCGCAGTTGGGAATTCCCATTCACCCATTCTACCCCTGCCACTGCCACACTACTTCCTATCTCGATTATGGTTTTTATACCCAGTAATCGTGGAATGGTGATAGTATATGCTAGACCCTCAAATCGTAAAGTGTAGATTATTTTTACAGGCGGAATAAATAATAATAAAAAATGTTTTATCGGGGCAGTTGAAGCACGACTTTCTGTACACTTTCAGTACAATTTGCAGTATATACGGGGTATCCAATTGTCGAGACAATCAACTGTAGAAGTATTCTTTTTCTCTTTCTGTTTTTCCTGCCTTCTGTTCTCTTTCTTTCTTTTCAGTTCTTCGCCGAGTAGGAGCCTGTAAAGTGAGTTAAGGTGCTTAAGTTTCGCTGTCTTCATTGTTCGTTGATTTTCAGAGTTTTCCTTCGTATTTTTCTTGTGCCAGTTTCCATTTTATATTCTTTATTTTTGTTGGGTTGCGAAAAAAAAACTAAACGCTGCGGGGCGACGCCGAAGCCATGTTGAGTTTTTGGCAAAGTTTTCTGTGCCAACTTTCAGCGCAACGGAACAAAAATGGAGGCAAAAATTTAATAATAAATCTAATAATAAAAAAATGAAATATGAAAAATGGTAGAGGATGTGAAAATAGCTGCGTATATTCCCATCTTTATATTCATACATATTTTCTCTTTGTGGCAATTTCAGTTACGAGCGAAATTGAATTTTAAAATTTGCATTGGCCCAAAAGCAAAAAGGATACGGGCAATGAGAGAGCCGACAACAGAACCAACAATAGCGACATGAAACAGATAAATCCCGGCACCGGCCCCCCCCGACCCCGTCCACGACCGACAACAACAACAACCAATATGATGGCAAGACAAGCGCCGTGCCGGAAGGGGAGGGGGAGAAAGAGAGCATAAAATGGAATTTATTAAATAGCATTCCGCGCAATAAACTCTCGCACAAAAATAAAAAATAAAAGCGCTACAACACAAACACGCACACACACACACACACACGCACACGCACACCAATACAACAATTTGGACATGCAATTTTATGGCAGGACGTTGTCTCCGCCACTGCCTCGGCCTCCTCCCCCAATCACAGACAGATGCAAGAGGCTAGAGCAAGTGGGAAGTCGATGCATTAGATACCCTTCCAGGCGAAAGAATATATTTAATGACAAGTCCGTGGCCAAACTAGGCACCAAAATGGTCATACCCTTCCCCTTCCAAGCGTATAAGATTGGGAAAACAAAAGCAAAAGGCGGCACAACATTTTTTCCATTAAGAGGCCACCAAAAACCGGCAACTGGACTGGGAGCCAGGACAGAACAGGACAGCTAAAAAGGGCTCAAGAACAGCGTACAGGGGGAGCCGCTGTGCAGATTCAGGTTCGAGCTGCTGTGCCGCTTCGCCAAATCGAGAACGAATAAAACACAAAACAAAAACAACAATAAAAAGGGTAAATTAATAACCGTTGTCGCTGCCAAAGGTTTCCAGCCCAAGGCTGCGGAAGAGCCCGTGATATGCCCGTCGATGCAATGAATTGACATTTAATTATTGTGTAAATCATCATTTTTATTTGTATTCTGTCTGTTTCTCCTTTTTCATCTTTGTGTTTGTTTGCCCGCCACATTAAATAACCGTTTTAATGGGGAATGAGCTTTTTATTTCATTTTAGCAATTTTATTAAAAATGTATTTCTGATGAATATAATTGTATTGTGCAAGCAAAGATAAGTTAAAATGTTTAAAGTGAAAGTCCATGACAGATGGCAGATGTGGAGTGTTTAAAAAAAACTTAAATCTTAATCGGTAAATAAATTTCCCAAAAACAATCCCTTCCCATAACAACTTCCTGCCAGTGTTTCCATTCCGCAGCATCGAAAAATTGGCATTTCAATTGACTAATTCCCAGCCACAACGAATTAATGGGGTGGCTGGCTAGCTCCCTGATGCACAACGATTTTGGGGGGCACAATTTCACACCCATTACACTGCCTTCCCGCCTCAGACACAGGCCGACATAAACAATCTCATACTTGTGCAATATTTAATTGCACTACGTATCTACTGGTATTACGAAATACTTAGTCTGTGGCTCTCGAAACGAAACCGAATGGAAATCAAACTTTGATTGATTTAAATTAATTGAATTTTCAATTTGTCTGGCGATTGGACGAAGCAAACAACCGACAACAGACCAACAACCGGTTTCCACCGATTCAAGGCGCAAAGGCGAGCAATTGAAGAAACTTTATTTAAAAGATAAAATGATTGTTTCAATGCGATATACATATATTAGATGTGTACTGACCTGTGGTTGTTTTGGGGTGTTGGGTTGTGGGTTTATTCCAGTCGCTATCCGCTGCTAATCCCAGTCATGTGGGCAGTCAGTGCACTCACTGAGGAAGCCCAAGGAGAGTTAATATCTGGGTGAAGCACGTGGGAGACGACCAGGGGCTTTGGGGAAGAAAAGCCGTTGAAGCATTTGGCGCTTAGCAGTGGTGCCAGCCAGCAGGAAGACTCAAATACGGGGGGATTTAACTTTACTTTACTGAGAGCACATTTGGGTGCAGGCACTTTTTCTTGGCTCGACTTTCTTTTCACACTCACTCTCGTCGCACACCTCTTTCTCTCACATTCTTTGTTGTTGCTTTTGAAGCTTTAAAGGGCACAAATGGGCATACATATGGTTGTATTATTCGTTTGGATTCGTATTCTCAGCTGTTTTACGCGTTATAAAACTTATTTGTATTATTATTGCTTATTTCTCACTTTTTCTTTCAACATTTACTGAATTCAGAACAACATTTTTCGCTTCATGGTCACTGCGGTGGTCTCTGCAGCGGCAGAAACGTAGACGGCGACGGCGGGAGCGTCGGCGAGGGCAACGACAGTCGACACCATTTCACCGGCGACCGACGAAAACGACAACCGAGCCAACCGACGAGAATCTCGATCACACGCTGCTGCTGCTACTGCTGCTGCTCGCGCTGCGCTGCGCTGCAACTGGTGCTGGTGCTGCTCTGCCCCCACGTCGACAGGCAGTGGCAGCCACAACAAGAACAATGTTTGTACGTAATAATGTTTAACTTTTGGCCAAGGTTTAAATGCTTAAACAGTATCTATCAGCGTTAAGCAGCGTGCACCCAACAACACCTTCCTCTCTCTTTCTCTACCACTGCTGCTGCTGCTGTTTCTACGGGCCAGAGCGAGCGCTTATCCAATTGTTTGCTTTTTGCCTACGCTTGTTGCTGCGCTGCTGGCGCGCTGCTCCTCCCGTTTGCTGGCGTTTTGCTGGAACTCGCGAGTGTGTTTTGCAACTGTTCTCGAATATCTTAACAATTAGCACAATCACCCGCGTGTTTTCCCCGACTAGCACAGTTATTTACGTACAATTATTCTTTTTTTTTAAATTTCTTTTTATTTGGTATTTAATCAGTGTGACCGCCGAATTATCGATCAAATATACCGAAAGACCCTCGGAAATATTCCGAAATATACCCTTGCATTTTTAAAATATACTGTAAATATACCGTAAATCCTAAATTTTTTTCCTCGATTTTGATGTTCCATCAGATATTACTAGCTATTTAGGATTCTCAAAGCTAAAACTATAAGATCAATTAATGTATACATCAATTAACGCTCTCACGACTCTCGATTCGATATTGACAGCTTAAACGATTTGGCGGTAACACCATCATCTTTTTTCTACATGATATCTACATTTTACTCGGTGTTAGCAGGTTGCAAGGTGTGTTAGCTAGAGAGGGAGGAAAGTAAGGTCTAGTGCTGCCACATGTCAGTGAACAACACAGCTTAGCCACATCCATGAAAATAGTTTCACTTTTTGAACGCTGTATTCAAACTGAAATCTACTCTAGCCTACAGGACACTTGCAACTAAACCCAAAAATGAGTCCATTTATTGTTGTTATTGCTTCCCTGCTCATGGGTAAGTAATACAATTACCGTAATGCAATAAAAACAATCTCTATAGCCGCAGTATTGGCACTACCAATTCCCGTGGACAATTTCACGAGTTATTTAAAGGATTTTCAGCGCTTGGAGCAAGTGCAGACCCCCGAGGGAAACTCGCAGAAAATCAATGAACCGAAGCATTCGCAAATTTTTCACATTAATCCGCTCGAGAATCCCCTGATGATCTACCTCAAGCGCATGCAGCAAAGTATTGAACAGAAATTGCCACAGAATGCCGCTAGTAAACCCAAGCAGATGGACATGTCACAGTCCGTCGTTAGCTATGAAAGGAACAACACAACCCAGAATGACCCCACTGTGGGCGGCAGTCGTGCCCCCAAATTGAGTTACGTTCGACTGATGCGTGTGCTGATGGAACACATTTGTGGGTAGAGCCATTAATTGTACATCCCTGTGAACTAATAGTCCTGCCACCCCCAGGGATCACTGCCGCAGAAGCAGCCGCCGCAAAGGGGATTCCAACATTGACCAACACAACACGATAATGTGAGGAGAGTTGCGATGAGTTGTGGCTGGGAGGATGTGTGGCATGAGGAGGGAGGATATGGGCGATGTTTCATATATTGAAAATACACTTTATTCTAATACATATATCAGTTTTGGAGAACGGAGTAGCAAAGGAAAGAAAACAACAGGAAATAAGGGAAAGGGAAGAGAAAAGAAAAGAAAATATAAAATTCAGTTTAAGGTGAAGAAAAGAAGGAGAAAGAAGTAGAAAAAAAAGTAGAAAATAAAACATAAATTTAAAGTTTGTTTTGATATTTTGTTTGTTGTTTTTTGTTTTCATGGGTAATAACATTGTTAACATTTATAATTATTATTATTATTATTATTATTATTGACTATGGCTAATATCTGCGGCGGAAATATATCTTTTCGGTATTTTTTCGGTATTTTTGTTTGTTTTTTGATTCCGTTTAGATTGCCGGTTTGTTGTTGTTGTTGTTGTTGTTGCAGGTACTTAGTACTAGTATTTCTTGTTTGCTCCTTAGATTTGCGATTATTGTACGCTTGTCCTATATACACACACAGACACAACACTCAGAATATGCCCTACATAAGGTATGGTTTTCATGCATGAGAATTTGGGAATTCATTGGATTGGGTTTGCTGTGGGTGTATGGTTTGGATTTGGGGTGGGGGGATGGTTCGTTTGGGGAAAATACTAAAATGTCTAGGCATTAGTAAGTAACCGATGTAAGTAGCGATTAGACATCTATATCTATATATCATATAAAGGTAAAAGGTATCGCTGATCTATAACGATCGTTCATTAGTATATGGTATACTTAGGGGTGTATATGAAACAATCTGCAGTTATTCTAGGCATAGGGCATAGAGGCATTTGAAGTCTTAGACGAGTTTTAAATAGCACTTTTCCTTATAGAGTTTCTACAGGCTAAAACAGACAGGTATACAGATCGATTCCTAAAGCTATGGCCTACAGTTTACAGTTAAGAGTTACAACTTTCAGTTTACTTATGTCCATAGAATACTTGAGTAAAGATACATAGCTAAGATTGTTCTCTGACAGAGTTTCTCCCACTTCTGTTCTTGCCCCTTCGGGGTTTGTTGATTCGCTTTTTTGGTTGTGGGATTTTTGATTTTTGATTTTGATTTTGATTTTGATTTGTTGTTCCCTCTAGATTATGGTCTTAGTGGATGGTCATTGGATGATTCTCAGACAATCGGCACGCACATCCATTCCATCAGCCGGAACAGCAGCGAGCACAACCAATTCTAGGCGGCCGTTGTCACCTTGGCCTGACCGCCACCAGGCTCAGCCACACCTGCCACAGGTGCAGCCGATCCGCCAGCTGTCGCTGTCGCTGTCGCTGTCGCCACTGAGATCTCCTCCAGCTGCAGCTCTGCCTCTTGGGACACTTCGCTTTGGCTTTGACTGTGGCTGTTGGTGGTGTTGCTGCCGCCACTGACGCACTCCGACTGGCTGGTGCGCAGCTCCGGTGGCAGATAGATTTTGACCACGCTGGTGATCTTTACCCGGCAATTGGGACAGTTGCTGCACCTGTAACGAGGAGAGAATGATTAGCAAAACACTTCCTGGGGGCCCTGTGGGAATGGTCGACCCACCTGGCGGCACACTGGGCACAGGCAATCACGTGACAGCACGGATTGAACACTGTGTTGATGGCGCGATCCATGCAGATTTTGCACTGCATCGCCTCGGATATGCGCGTGTCCACGCAGCGCTCAATCGCCGCCTCACGCGCCTCCTTCTCGCGTATGGCCAAATCTATCTTGCCGGCCATGGAGCCGCCACCAGCGCCACAACTGCTGCCCGCCCCAGCACCAACGGCAGTTGCGGCAGCGGCAGCGGCAGCAACAGCACCATCAGCCGCCTCAGCCCGAACAGCGGCATCGCCGCCGCGCTCATGCAGAATCCTGCGCGCCTGATCGTGCACCTCGCGGCACGTGTGCTGAATGTCGAAGACATAGCGCTTGCCCAGCTCCGTGTCCTCCTTGAACATGGAGGCAATGGTGCCCTTGAGATCCCTCGTAAATTGATTCGTCACCACGCCGCGCACCTTGTCGCACACGTAGAAGGCGTGGCGCTCGGTTATCGAGCGGTAGAGGCCAGCGGCAATTGGCTGCTTGGGCAGCTTAATCTCCAGCTCCTTGCGATCATTGTGATCGTCCACATACTCCAGCTTGAAGGTGCGCCTCAGCGACTTGGCGGCTGCAATGGCGCCAAAGGGGATGCTACAGGAGGAGCGGCAATTAGTTTTGGATGTTCCACTGATCGGACATTAGCCAGCGGGCACTCACCTTTGTTTCTCACCCCCACGACAGACGGTGATGCCATGGGCGCCCACAGCAATGTCGCAGCGTGTGGCACTCTCGTTGGTGGTGACGCCGCTGAAGAGCTCCTCCCCATAGCCGGGCAGATCCTGGATGGACTGCAGCAGCCAGTACTTGGCCGACTTGGGACTCATCTGCAGCTTGGCCAGCTTGCCGTGCTCCGTGGCAATCTGCCTGAGGTAGTCCGCCGGTGGCTCCGGCACAGAGGCCGCATCGCCGCTGGTCTCGTGGCTGGGCAGGAACACGTACTCCTCGTACATGCGCAGGGGATTGCTGGCCAGACGCTCGTCGAGTCCTGTCTGGCTGCTGCTGTTGCTGGGGCTGCTGGAGCTGGAGTTGGAGTGGGTGTGGGAGGAGCAGGTGTGGGATGTGTTGGCGGAGGTGGAGGTGGAGGGTGAGGGCTGCAGGCTGCAGCTGGTCGCGGCCAGCGGCAGGGCACAGTTCTCAATGTGCTCCATGGACTTTTGCTTGGACAGGCGACGCTTCTTGAAGCTCAGCACGTGCTCCTTCTCCTTCCGCTGCTGCTCGTGCCGCTGCTGCTGTGCCTGCTGCTGCTGCAGCTGCTGCTGCGCCAACTCCCGGCGCATCCTCATGGGACAGTCGGCCCTCAGCGCCGCCTCATTGAAGCGCAGTCCGTCCGCCTGGCAGAGCAGCGCCGCCAGCTTGGCCGCATTGCTCCAGTCGCTGGCGGAGAGTCGTCCCTCCAGCAGGTCGCGACGTGCCTGCATGTAGAACAGATTGCGCACACTCTCCTGCAGGATGAAGTGCACGGGCACCCAGAACTTGACGCGCAGCGCCAGCATCAGTTGAATGCCACTGCCGCTGCTGCCGCTGTCGCAGGACAGGCGATTCCGCAGATTGATCCACTGACGCGTCTGCGTCTCCTTCTGGTTGGGCGTCCAGTGTTCGAGGCCAAAGTATTCCATCTCGCAGATGATGTTCAAGGCGAGGCAGACCTGCAAGCAGACACACAAAAGAGAGTTCGTCAGTGGTTGGCGAGGATTGGAAATTTAAGTAAAAGCTTAAACGAAGGGGCGTCGCGTTCCAATCTATTCTGGATCAGCGGCTTATCAATTCAAGCTGCTGGGACCTGTCAACGGCATACGGACGGCTCCTCCCGAGCCAAAGCATGTCCTGACAGTCGCGAGGCGGCCTGTCAGGAAGGAACATCATCAACAGCAGCAACAACCACCAGTGGAGGGGAATGACAGCAGTGGGTGTGCCGTTGCGGTTGAATTGCCATTGGGGGTGGCATTGGGCGGCCTGAGTCTCTCCCTTGAAATATTTGCTTATGCAACGAGCGTGTCATCATTGGGAATGGCGATGGCAACAGCAGTCAGCCAGCCAGCCATAAGGATGTTGTTTGTGTGTGAGCATGAACACGATGACGATGTTGCATTGCTTGCCTCTTACCCCCACCGCCAAAATGAAATTCCGAAATGTCAAAACAAAATTACGAGCAAAAGATGAATTTTGTTTGTTCTGCGAGACTCCCAACGTCCCAACAGACGCAGAACTTCCACCTACAGCTACTTGTGGTTCCACCCTCCTGCAGCACTTTGCATAATGAGGCAGACACCTACACGCATAAATGTGTGCAAGTAAATGTGTCTGTGTATCTGTGGCAGTCAAGGCAACAAGTTGCTCACGCATCAACGCGCTCGCAACAATTTATCTTGCTCTCTGCTCTCTCCTGCCCTTCTGCTTCCGGCATTCTCATTAGTGGCAAAAAAAGAACCGCAAGAATACATAAATTCCGCATAAGAGAATGAATAAATGTATGTATGAATATTTCTACAGTGTTTGGCATCCGTTTATTAGCTATTTAATATAATTTTTTAATTGGGAATTTACGGAATTTCCATCTCGTTGCTGGCTGAAATATTATTTGCATACTGTTTGGCGCGCTTGAAATTGTTCTTTTCCACTTGGAAAATGTAACAGTAAAGAAGTTGAATCGTTAAAAATATAAGTGTAAATAATTAGAAACATTAAAGTCTTGCGACAGATTTATGTACCTCTGTGCGGGCAAGAGTATTCATTTGATGCGCACACAGACACTACCACTATCCACTCTCCACTCTCCACTCTGTCGTTCCCAATCCAATCCAATAGAATGGGCCATCCTTGGGGGGCTGACAACTTCCGGCGCAGCCACAGCTGCCGCCTCGATTTGAAGATGAACATCTCGAGAGTTGTCTCTTGTCGCCGATGCACACTGCCTAACAACCGTTACCAAGTTGCCACAGCTACCCCCCACAGTGCGAGTGGCATGTAAATTGATCCATGTACTTGATTAATTAATTGCGTTCGGCTTGGAATTGGAATCTCATCCGGCGGCACCATCAATGCTTTCAGCAACCCTCCCGCTGCTGCTTGGAAAACCGCAAACTGTCGACGACATTTCGGCGTCTTAATTAGTCCGGCATCGTTTGCCCTGAGTGGTTTTGCTTGCTTCCAGTGGATTTGCCCCACTCATCGGTGCATTCATTTGGATAGAATGTCGCAGCGAAATTGGGTTTCAATTTAATGAGAGAATGCAGTGACTTGGCATGGAATTCATTTGAGGTTAATTTGGACATTGAAGATGGGTAGACAATATTTCCCTAGGCAAGTTTCCGGCACAGCTGTTATTTATAAGGCTCTTCAAATATTCACATTTATTTCTGCATTAAATCGAAAGCAAACATGAGAGACTTGAACTGAAGCTTAAATGCCACGCAAATGGTTGGAACATTTGATTCCAATTAGGAAACATATTCAAACAAGTTCTCTGCCTCATGGGAATATGTTTTTGCTTTATTTTGAATTATTTTTTTGTTGAGAGCAAAACGTGGCAACAGTTGTCTAACATTCCAGGGTGGGGGGCATTGCTCGTGTGTCTGTGCCTGACCTATGAGAGAGGGAGAGATATGTGGGAATGGTTCACCTTGTAGGAATATGCCATGTGAATTCACCGCAAAAATATAAAAGAGCTTCGCTGTCGCTGTCTCTGTCTCTGTCTCTGGCACTGCCCTGGTCTGCTGCTGTCAAGTGCAAAGTCCATTTTTGTGGATTATTTTGCTAAAATTAAATGAAACACAAATGCAAAAGCAACGCGAATCCGAGCACGAATCGTGAACAAATTTATTTTGTATTTTGTGAAGCCAAAACAGCAAATAACAACAAAGGCGAATTAAGCCGGGCAGCGAAGCTTGACATAACCGAAACTTTCGTAATTCCCACTAAGGCACAAGCCAAGCACAAGCCACCAAGCAAATAGGCAGATGGCAAAAGTTTAGTACCCCCGCTTCTGATTAAACGACCTAATGTCTTTCGTAATACCAATAGCATCAACAGATTATTTGCTGTTAAGGCCTATAATTTGGGCAGGTCGTAAAATCGAAGTAGAATCATGTAAAATTACACAAACCGAATGTAACAGCTGTAGACACAAGCTGCTGTTGCTTCGCTTGAAGACGCGCTTCTTAAGAGAGCCAAACAGATTAAGAGAGAGCGCTTTGACTAAGGTAAACATAACGAGCGACACGAAAACAAGTGGGAGACAGAAAGAAAAACAAAAGAGCTTCGCATCATATTGCTTTTTGCTCTTTTACAAACAAACGAAAGACAAGTATTGGCATGGCAGGGAGTGAGGGGAATGGTGGTCCACATGTTTTGATGAAGCCGAGGGAGGGGAAGACAAGGGGGGGGCTGTGGCTATGACTAGCAGCAGAAAACCCGACCAGTGTCTCTTGCAGTGGACTTTGGACCCGAGTCTTCGAAATGCCGTTTGGACTTTGGACTGGCACTCGCCTCGTAAGTGCTTTTGTTGTGATGTTGCTCTCGATGCTTGTTTGCTGGTGTTGGTGTTGGTTGGTTGTCTCTTTGCATTTTGTTGCTGCTATAATTGTCATTGCTCTTTGCTGTTTGATCGCAGCAGTGCTTGTTGCTGTATTTAATGCCAGGCCCCAAGTCGAAACTGTATTGAATTTCTGACGTCACAAGCCGCCGTTTTGGACTTTGTACTCTGAACTCCGCACAAGCTTTTGTTGACCGACAGGGCAAGAGAGAGAGAGAGAGAGAGAGATGTTGAAAAAAGACGCTCTTACAATTTACATATGTACGTACATACATGTGCGGTAAACGTTTTGCTTATCAAATTGAAAAGTTAATTCTGCTTATTAATTGATTAATAGGAGCCCACGTGCTGAAAGAGAATACATCGGGATCAAGAGATCGATCTCTTGTATGAATTAAAAGAGAAATGCAATATGAATGTTTACCATAGAGAGAGCGAAATGAATGCCTTCCTACGAATCTTCTGCGAGGCCTGCGACTCGATCTACAATGTAAACGAAACGAATAGACAGATAGACGGAAAGAATGACATATCTTTCCCCATTCTCATTCACCACCTCTCTCACCCATAAATGGTTAGAACTTGTTAAAGTTTTTGTTGCTGGTGGCAGACCATGCGCTTGTCGAGTGATCAGCCCCGAGGCTGGGAACTAGGTAGACTCCAAGAGACACAGAGAAAGAGAGAGAGAGCAAGAATGAGCGGGTGGCAGAGGTATAGGCAGACAGAGATGCAGAACGAACACAATTTGTTGGGAATGAGAATGCACTTGTATGTGGGCGAATGGGCAGGGATGGGCTCTTCTGGCTGTGCTGAAACAGGTTCAATGCATGGAAATTAATGACGGAACGCGCACACGGATACTGGCCATAAATTGCACTTAATTACTTATGCGCGGAGACGAAGAGCACGTGTTGGCCAGGTGTGCCACCTTTCTTTCCTGTGCAACGGAAACTTTTAAGTCAACTCCGTCTTTATCAACCTGTCAGGAGCCCGCTCTGAATCTCATCCCCCCTCCTTCGAGACCACTCCCTGCAAGTCGCGCTCAATAGTTGCTATAACTGTTAATTGCTGACGTGCGAATGGGCAATCAACGCGAGTGCGAAGCAAAAGAAGCGAAAGATGAGGGAGGCATTGGACGGAGCTGAGCTGGAAAGGAATATTTACTTTAAATATGGAAAGCGAAAAGCGACCGCAAGTGCAATTTCATTAAAGCAGACTCTGGAAAGGCATCTGGGTGTATAATCACGGAATATCCGAAGGTCGAAGATCGATATGATGCCGTGCGGGAAGTGAAGAGAGAGAACATTTAAAATGGTGAAGGCATGCAAAATTAAAAATACTGTTAAAAGAATTTGCATAGGGAAATCTCGAGTTATAGTTGACATTAGTAAATATGTCTATGGATACAGCAAAGGCAGATAATCGTTTAAAAGCTTTCGTAAAGCAAAACGAATTTTCAGTTTTGTTTCCTTGCTTTTGCATCAGCATAAAATTATTACACATTTGGCATTTAGAAATTGCAAGCAAAAAGAAGGCGCAACTGCCAATAATTGAATGTAGTGCCAATGTGCAATGCCCTTATCAGTCGCGTTGCCCGTTTTAATTCCCATCCTACTATGAACTACTAAATGCAGCTCTCGTGACCTTCAGCTGGAAGCGACTCGACCTTCAGCACAATGACATCTGACACAATGTTGAGCGACACAAAATCCAATTTCACTTTCAATATAAACTAAATAGTTGCTAACTCGTTACTAATCAATTTTCTAATCTCAATAATCTTACAGCTACAATTAAATGTGATTGAAGTGTCAGCTAGCTTTCGTGTCGAAGCGGTTGATACCCTACATTCCAGTTATGTATTCTACACATCTGAGCAGTTATCTGTATATGCAAATGTGAAGCTTCTTTGGGTGTTGCAAACAGCTGCTCCAAGCCAGTATACCTTGTCCCAGGGCATAATGTGAAAATAGCTGCAAATTAACTTTTTGTGTGTACTTCGAATGGGAAGTAAAGCTCGCCCCTCTCGCTCTCTCTCTCTCATTCTATCTCTGTGTGTGAGTGTGTGCAGTGCATTTAATTTCTGCAGCAGGCCTAGGGAATGCCAGCAGCAGC